TAAATGAACTAATTATTTTGAATAGTTTTTTCTGTTTAAGATTCTTGAAATTGTAGTTTGAACTCTGTGTGTCCTTACTGTATAATTTTGTTTTGTTATCTATTATGCGTTTGCCTGCAAACTCCAAAAACCTTTTTTGGATTATAATATTATGTACAACTGAAAAAAAAATCTGACATTAAAATGACATTCAATTCATGATATTAGATTATTATCAGACACAATCGTAATTCGTAATACGCATGCATTTATATTAATATAATTTATTACCTATAGAATATGGATAGATCATAGATGTATTAACTAAACTAAAGTCTCCCCAGTTTTTATTTCCTTATAGGTATCTTTATATCATGCTATTTATAATATTGGTAGATATCAAGTACCAATAACCTTACCTCGACACAATGTTGTCTTGAAAACAAACGAACCGAAGATATAACTATATAGGTTAATATGTTCGATCAAGACGTACCTACTTGATATGATACATTGCAGAAATGGTACGTGTTAAACTTCAATTATATTTGAATTATAATATAATAACATTGTACAACATTTTACCTCGATTTTTCTTTCGTTTCTTAATGATCCCATTGTTAGTTACCTACTGAATGTAAATATTTATATTTTTTATATATTGTTTTTTGAATTTATTTAACAGGTACTATAATATAAATATTATATTTATTTGTATCCATGCAACTTATTTTATCAGTGTAATATGCCAGTATTTTGTATTGTAATATATAATAATTAGACGTATAATGGTATAGGTATAATGTATTATGTACTCAATTACACTTAAACTTTCAGATTAGGTAGGTAGAAATTTAGAAATACTAAAGAACTATAATATTTATTATAATTATTTTTAATCTGAAAATTGAAATATAAGTAGGCAAATAGCTAATAACAATATATTAAGACATCCTAATAAAGTACCTAATATTATGAAACAAAAACATGTTAAACCACTTTTAAAGTTAGGCTCCTTATGATTTTGGTCAAAACAGGTCCACACGTTAAATATAAAAAAAAAAAATTTTTTTAAAAACATGCTTTTCTTAATTCTCCTTAATACATGAACTAAAAAATTGAAAATAAACTTACTTTTAAAACAATTTCTTAATGAAACTTCAAGGTTATCAAGATATTACTAAAAGTGTATCTAAAATCTATTTGTTGCAAAATTTGTAAAACTTGTGAATTACAAAAAACGAAAAGCATGGGGCACTTATGATAACTCCTATGTAAAGTCACTCTACAACTGTATCATTAGATAAACTTTATGATAAGTAATTTAAAGATTATTGATCATACTTCCAATTTTGTAAGAGATATTCTTGACTCATAGGAGCCCCATGCTTTTCGTTTTTTGTAATTCACAAGTTTTAAAAATTTTGCAACAAATAGGTACATTTTAGATACACTTTTAGTAATATATTGATAACCTTGAAGTTTCATTAAGAAATTGTTTTAAAAGTAAGTTTAATTTTAACTTTTTAGTTCATGTATTAAGTAGAATTAAGAAAAGCATGTTTTAAAAAAAAAAATTTTTATTATTTTTTATTTTCTACTTTTTAGTGATAACAATAAATTAGAAACAAAGGATTTTTTGAAAGCATAATTTTTTTATGTTTTTTTTAGTCTCTTAAGAGATTTATTTCTCATGTTTAAAGAATTAATATAATTATAATAGTCAACAGACAACAACTCACCGTAGAAATTCTTGAAGAGCTTCCTTCTTGCTTCACGAACTAGTATAAAATGATTAAATATTGAAACACCTATCTATAATAATATTGTTCTGTGTCAGGCTCCACCTATTTTAACCCCCACTACATCAACCGTTCGAGGTTCGTGCTCGTAGTGAAGCCACGCCCATGCGCACAACTTGGCCGTCGTAGCCTGATCTTATTTTGAATAGACTATAGAATAATATAGAAGCGACACTCCCCCCCACTTCACTTTTTTTTTTGACCAAGTATAACTTAGCGGGTATTTAGTACTTGGAGACCCCGGACCGAGGGGATCTCAGTTTTTAAGGCCCCAGATGAATTTCCATCATTATGGAACCAAAGCCCCCACCCCCCCACATTTTGAGTTAGCCCGAATTGACAACGGGGTCATATATTGTCACCGACCCTAGACCTCCATACAAAATTTGAGCCTCCTAGGTCATGTAGAAGTGAGTTAAATTGAACTAGCAAGATTTGATGACAACAGAAATGAATGAATGAATGAATGAATGAAACATTGTGAGTTAAAGAAAAGCATGTAATAAAATATAATTTCATCTCATTGACTCAGCGTATAATGCTTTGTAGGTATAACCGAAATTAATTACATACTTACTCTCAAAATATATCCCCACTTGAAATATGAATACTATGACCTGGGACTGCCAAACAATTCGTGACAATATCTAAGAGTAAATAGTGAATATAATATATTTAAAAACTTTAGTCTATACTCTTAGTCTACAATACTTTATATAAAACTATAAAATTATGTAATTTATTTATTTATTTATTTATTATTGAATACGGGACGTGCCCAAGCCCAATTACATTGTATAGTACCTATACATAATAACTAAGAGAAAGTTACATACATAACAAAAATTACAAATATTAAGATATAAATAACGAACAGACAATAATTTAAAGCTAAGTACTAAGGAATAGTGCGTCCCCATTGGTCAATTTCATCATACGGTCAATAGGACGATTTGTTAGATAGTTACAGCGGCTAAAAGGAATTTGGAAAGGGAAAGAGTAGCCTATCTGGAAAAGAAACTTGGAACTCTGAAATTAAGTTTATATAGGAGGACCCCGAATCGACTTCATCATTTATAAGTTTAGAAAGAAACGTAAGATTAGCCTGTTTCCTCCATAGGGTAGACAAATGGAGGCACTGCAACACTGCAGGTTGATACTCATTACAGATACTCGTGAAATACGCACTCAATGCGTAATGCGAAAGCGGAAAATTTCAAAAATTTACGCTGAACTCTTACCAGTTGACTAATACCATCGAATGTGCACAGACCCCAAATAAATACCACATACTCCAACACAGACCGAACAAAAGAGCAATATAACGAGAGCTGGACAGTTTAAATTCAATCGAAATTCTTTTCACGAAACCGAGAATTTTCAAAGCCTTATAAGTAACTTTCTCAATACGAGTACGAAAAGTAAGCGATCGATGAAAAGTAACACCAAGGTCCACAACACAGTCACCTGGCTGCTTTAGCGCAATATCGTTGATAGTTTATGTAAACATGACGTGCTCATTGGAACGAGGGTATAGGCCATGGCATGACATTTAGGGATACTAAGCTCCAAGCCTAGTCCCCGGGCCCAATGAGCGACAGCATCAAGATCATGTTTACAATCATCAGCGAACAACAGAAGTTCCCTGTGCTGTATCACATTTTAATATTTAATGCTCCATATAAAGCATTAAGCAGCATTAATATTGCCTATGCCCTATGACAGCGTTTCCCAAATCATGGGTAGCGAAATTTTTTTGATGGGCCGCGACTCGCGATTACGATTACGTTTATTTCAGTATTTTTTTATAATTTATTTTATTTATTTATCAAGTATTGTATCATGTAAAAACTCATTGATAAAATTAATAATAATAAAAATATTATTTATTTAAGGCATACTTGATTTTTTTTTTTTTTAACAGGGAGTCGGGTACCCAATCAATATTAAATTGATGGGTCGCCATTGCAAAAAGTTTGGGAAACACTGCCCTATGGTACACTTATAATTTTTACAATTATAATCCAATCATACTTTCAAGACTTCAAGTTGTGATCACAGTTATTGCATTCAACTTACATAATATACTATGGATGGGCCCATATCCAGTTAATTTAAAGAACACATTCAACAAAATATTAAAAATACAGTCAACATTTTTTTTATAAGAATTTAAAGTTAGAATTTTGACAAGACGTAAAAATCACGAAAATGTGCAAATTATAAATAAATAAATAAATACAGACTAGATAACTTGAAATTGACTTGGCTATTTTTTTTATTTGTTGGCCTCAAAACAAAAATCAAATGTTGACATTTTATTATACCGTTGTATACAACATCCAGGCCATATGAAATAGGTAATGGTTTCAAAGAAGATACAAGAAAAAATATTTGAATATAAATTTTTATTTCATTCATCACACTTAATTTTTTTTTTAAACCAAGATTTTGTACAATTACAATATGATTTTTATTATAAATTATAACAATATTCATACAATAAAATATGTAATACCAGATGATCCATTAAACACAATATTGTGTTAGCTGAATCATATTATATAAAAATTATACAACACAGTGTCCCAATGCCTCAAATATTTTTTGGTAGCAAGAGTATTATTATTATTACTTATTAGTAGTTTAAATTGGATTTTCATAAGTTGACATTGCATAAAACAAAGTCCTGAGGATCAAGGGACACTATATTATATTTTTCATATATTATATATTATACACAATTACATACACATTTTATAATAATTAATAATGGACTAGTTACTTTTATAAATATCACTTTAGTAATACAATATCATATTAATGATTAATACATTAAAGTATTTGAACAACAATAAACAACATGTAATATATTTATTAATTAAAACATTTGAATATCAGTACTTTTGAAACAAAACAAAATGTAAGTAATTACTCAAAGAAAACAAGGAGCTAGCTTACAAGTAATATTTGTTTGGTTCATCAAACATTGTCAATAGATTTTTTTTTTTTTTAATCTTACATCAAGAATAGTTAATAAAATAAATTGATATTACTACAGTGATTGTTAAATTCGATAGGTGCCAAAAATCAAATCTGACAGAGGTAAATTTAAAAACAACACCAAAGTGTCAGAGTTAAAAAGAAAACACAGACATAAACTTATCCTAAGATCACAAGATTATTAATTGTTAAAGGAAATATATTTTATATTTTTTTTTACACTGGAGTCTCGTGGTCGACTTCTTCAATCCTACTCAATTTCCAGCCATTTGGGTCGCCTGTAACAAAATTGAAATGATTAAACAAATAAAATACTAATGAAAGATTGGCCAATATTTCTTGGACATCTTGAGTTTATTTAAGTTTATATTTCTGTTACCACAGCTTGGTCTGTAGAAAACTAAAATATTGTTTAACCTTAAGCTATATTGATACTCTTTATGTATATTCTATCATAATATACAGGGCAGATTGATTACATTCAGGCATTAGGCAATAGCAATCCAGCTGAAGTATTTACACTATTCATAAAATATTAGGTGTGTATTTTACTTTTAAATCTTAAGTTACTATAATTATTAAGTGTCAATTAAACTTTTAGTTAATTAGTTAGACTCTCTACTCCCACCACAAGTATTGCTCATAGAGAGTAGGTAGATATCAACATTGATAAATTATTTATGCAAACACATTTGTAACATTTTATACAAAATGTTTTGATGTTGTATAAATAAAAATAAAAATATCTATTCAGTCCACCAAAGTATAATATATATATACATACACTTATAAACTAGCACGCAACCATAAAACGTGGTATTGAATACTTTAGAATAGCCAACAAACAAACAATATACACATTCTGTAAAAATCAAACTACACTTACTTAACGTTGCTATCTGTGTAGAGTTCTCAACACGTTACGTAGAGTCTGTTGCGAGTACCACGAAGACTGGTCATTTAGCAATGGACAGTGTTCCAGACATGCGTTTTCATTCTCTGATAATAACACAAGTAAATCATGCAAAAACTAATTTTATAAAATATTACTGTCAAAGTGAAGATACATGCTTAAGAAAAAAAAACTGTAATTATAAAGAGATATTTTAAAGTAAAAAAAATATGTTCTAACAATTTAAACAATTTGCTAGCATATAAAAATAATCACACATTAACTACAATAATGTAAGATAAAAACAAAAAAAATTATAAACTCTATACTGTACTTAATCTTTATAGTAACATTTCAAGAATGTAACTATAGATAATAGATTACTTAATCCAGAAGCAGATAGTAATAAATTTAGTTCAGCTTTAATATGATTGGCAATTTCCAGTTGTTATAACCATGTATTATAGAATAGAAAATACAAAATCATAGAAATGAAAAGCACATAACACAAATGCTGCTTACCTTTTGGTGGTTGCGTTTAACACTTAAATTGTAAAGCAATAAAATAATATTAATTTAGTTTCACACAATTTATTCGTTTAGTGATTAACAATTATTAAATAATTAATATATTTAACATAACTTGACTAGAAATTTATAGTGAAAATATCTGATATTTTATACTAAGTCATAAACTCGTAAAATATAAATAACATTATTTATTGGATATCAGTTTAATATAATAGGAGGCTTAATAAGTGAAAAAAATAAAATATATTTAATCTTTGACATGGAGGTGGGTTGATATCAAACGTGCAACAAATATAACTTTAGTTTTAACAAACTTATTATTGGCTAAAGCAATGTTAAACATTTTTAATTTATATTGACAAAGGTTATATTTATATAAGTTTGAATTTTAAATGAATATTATTTTATTTTTATATATCACAGAGATAAGTTACAACTTATATTACATTAAGCTAACATCAAATGAAAATTAATGAATATATACATATATAGACAATTATTAACTAATCATTATAAAGCCGTTTATTATGTTTTTTTAATGAATACATACCTTGTAACTCTCGTTTCAATATAGTCTCAATGCCTGCTTGTCCGTCACCGTTACGCTTTAAATAAAGAACTGTTTGTTTCTCATCATTCACATTATTTGCCATTTCAGCTTCTTCTCCATCATACCACTGATTAGGTAAATGGCCATTAGACATAGTTTCACTTACCTAAAAACACATTTAAAATTCATGTTAGTTTAATACTTTTATATGATGCACATAAACTAATAGAAATGGTTAAAATTATTAGGTACCTGCATAAGTTTTTTTACAACATCTCGACCAAGAATGTGATCAAAAATAGTGTATAAAAATTTATCTGTAATTATTGACAATCTTAATTTGTCTCTATGCCATAATAATACCCTGGAATCTTCTACAGCTGTGACTGATACCTAAAATTATTTTTATATTTAATTATTTAATATTTGCTATATCTATAGAACAATATAATTTATTACTTGGAAGAATTCATCAGTAGATACACCAAACCACTCTGGAGAATCTAGGAATTGATATGGGAAGACAATATGCAGAGCATTACCGTTCTGTGATATTACTAATCTTTAACATAAAAGAAAAAAATTAATGTAATATAATATATTATACTAATATTAATTATTAGGGCATAAACCTAAGTCTAAAGAGATGTTAGACCATACAAATAATGTAAATATTAAGCAAAACCTTTAGAAGTTTATTTTTAAGACTGTTCAAATTTCAGAACTACCAATAATATTTTTTATTTCAAAAACTAAGTACTCAAATTTATGTTTCTTGGATTAAGATTTTCAATGTATTCATTTATGTCTTGAATATAATCATATATTATGTAATCAAAATAACAAAAAAGTAGCCATTTTATAATACATATAATTCAAAAATATTATTTTTATAATCTATTATTGACTAAATAGCTACCTCTTTCTTGTTGTTGAATTCATCTCGTTGTTTAATGTTAAAAATTAATATTTTGTGTATTTAATCAAATAATATGGTTATTTATTAATTACCAACTTGTTCTTAATATTAAGTTTATAGATTGCTATTAATTTATTAATTATTTAAGGTATATTAGTATTTTATGTTGGTAATTTAATATGACGTATTAATTTAAGTTAAAATATGATGTGTTAATACAGAAAAATATGTATAAGGACGGTTGGCTCCTCCATAAACTTAGGCTTTTGGAGACAATAATTTTTACCTACCGTACTGTAAATATGTAACAATACAATTTATACTACTTATATGAAACTACTGTAATCATTACATTATATACAGGCTAAGTTTAAGTCATGACACTTGAGTATCAAACAATTAATATTTATTTATAAGGAGACTTAGGTTACACTTACTTTCCTGAAAGCACCAACGATAAGCTGTCGACCCTCGTTACTTTTTCTTCAGCAAATATCTCGAGAGTTTTTAGAGGCCGTATCATTTTCATGCAGGAAACTATTTTACTAAATTGTTTACGGCTAACTTTTAAAGGGTAGAAAAGCGTTTCGTACACCTAAAAAATGTATAATAAAATATCAAGTAATCAATGCATAATTTGTATTCTCTCTCTGATCCACGTGCAACATAGCAAATTTTATTTGCGCTGAGCAGAATCATAGCCTCAAATAGCGTTTGGGATTTAGGAGGGGGGGGCTAAAGCCTTACCATGGTAATATTGAATTAGCTTAAAACAAAATGTAGGAAATGTTTGGAGGGCTTAGCCCCTAAAGCCACCCTATTTGTGCCTATGAGCAGAACCAACCTTGTGTTGTTAGCTTTAGTATTAGAGTGTCTTCACTTATTATAAAACTTTAAGTTAAAAAAACATTAACTGTGTTCTTATGTTGTATTTTTTACAATATATTAATTTCTAAAAGTATTTTAAAATTGTTATATTTGACATACTCTTAATTCAAATAAAAATTAAAATACAAAAAGGCCAATGTAGGAACATAGATACTTTTAACCGTAAGTTTGATGGTAAATTCACTATTATACTTAATCTAATAACACACCGTTGGTACTGCTTAACACACATTTGGTATGTTATGTGTGGGTTAGAGAGAAAACTAATCCTCTTAAGACAAAAATCAATGAATTTACTAGTTCTAATTCATCATTAAATTTGATCGGCCTCAGTTGATAGAATAACACTAGAATGTGTACGACATTGACAGCAGCAGAAGCAGCATTCCACAAGAGGCTGTCAACCCAGCACTGGACATTCCTAGCCCATAACGCCATAATGGTAGTGGCACCAGCCAGGCCAATGCGAATGAGGAGAATCAACTGACAAGGAGATCCAAATGGTAGCATGTAGCAAATAAACATGATGGCATGTGAAAAATGAAAATAGGGATGGTTGAACACCGAATGCAAACAAGTCTGGCTGAGCATGGCCACGGTGATAGAGTCCAGTACGGCACCTAACGGCGCTACAGCAGTGTTGTTTCCGCAGCCTCCGCCGTCGTAACAACTGTAGTTACCTGAAACACAGTCATCATTGTCAGATACTATATCGGTGTCGGTCGGACGGACGGTAAATGACAAAAAAAGGTAAGGCCCTACCTTCGGTTTGAGCAGTACCGTTGACGTCGTCCAAATACATGGTCGGTGTGTTTGTTTTTCGCTACCTATTTAACGTGGGAGTTACTACGGTTTTTATCTCAGACGTTGACACTCTAAATGAAACTGTACACCGCCGATTTCAATCATCCTGCGACTAATATCTATCGAGAGCAGCCGGCCGAAAATCGATTACACACGTCGTATTTACGATCGCCGGCCACGAACTGTAGAGTTGTCGTCGTTACTCGTTACCCACTCGGGACCGACACCAAACGCCACTCGCGGATTCGACCCTCATAGATTGAAAGGCACTCGTCCAAAAGCGTCGTTACTCGTTAGTCGTTATCGCAATCGCATTCACGTCGTCGTCGTCGCCGCCGTCGATCCGCACCGCAGTACATCGTCGCGGTGCATACAAGCGAGTGGCGACTGCCGAATGCCGATTAGAGATGTTTTATCTCGGCCGGTCGCGGGCCGCGGCGGTTTTCCCGACAGATGACCGACTATCTATTTACCTAGCGACGCGGGTTCCCGACGGCAGACGACGTCGCGACTCGCGATTCTTGACATTTATAATAGTATGTTATTACTTATTACGTAATTAATAACAATAGTCAATAACGATTATAACGATATCGTTTCGCGTTCGCGCAGCTGCTGATGCTGCTGCCGCAGTGTCGCTGAGTGGGTAATGCCGTAATGGGATACTGGGAAAACAACGATAATACGAGACCGACAATCACGCCGGACACCGCGGCGACTGGCGCGCGTACTATAATTTATTATTATTTCTTCGGGGTACCCGGTGCCTGGTTGAGCTCAGAGGCCAGAGCTGTAGCCTCACCTAGTCTGTAGAGTGTGAAGGATAGTTTCGGGCCACGGCTGCTGTAAGTTTGTAACCAAGCGGGGGTTTGATGAATGAAAAAAAAAAACAATGACAACAGACGTTTGGGCCCGGGGGTGTTTTATTTTTTGAGCATGATCTCGTACGAAGGGTGGCATTATGAGCTCGCGGTGATGGTTGTGGGGAGGAAGTGATAATACAACGCGCGCATCGATAATGCAGAGGGTGCCATAGGGCATAAAGTATAAAACATAATAATTGCCTATTATCGTTACCTAATTGTTATGACTTTATGAATGCCGACCCGACGGCCGCCACAGCCGACCAAACACCGATGGTACACGGAAACCCCCGTGTAAAATATCAATAAAATAAAACTATCCCACGCATCCCCACAAATAAAATATAAATACACAGGCACGAGTTATACGACATCCATATCCGTGATCCGTATAATATAATGGTACATAATATATGACGAATTTATAAAAGTACCCACCTATTTATTTTTAGTACAAAACAATGTACAATTTTTGGAAATAGATAACTTGTCATTTGTCAATTTATAACTTAATAATTATAAAATCACTTTGTAAGTACATTTTATAAAAAGTTAAATATATTCCTAGAGTTTCTTATTTATTTTATTTTAATTAGATTATAACAATGGCTGATGGTTGTACGAGTACAAAAGAAAATAATATTTCAAACAAACCTACAAAATTGCATATGTATTAAAAAAAAAAAAAAACCTGATAACTGTGAAAGTATAGAGACGGAAACTCAACAAGTCGAACTAAATACAACCCTGGTCCCTCGAGGGCGTCCATTGGAGGGTCA